TTGATTAGTTTTTGTTCGACTATTTTGGCAGAGCCTCATTCAGATGGTCTCAACTCACATTGTGAAATTAAATCAGATCAGAGTACGATTTGAAACGATAGCTCTAGCAAGCGTTTCTGTATTCGGCTTGCCCGCCACAAGAGTGGAATTTCGTTACGATATTTTTGTATTTTGTTTCTCTTATAACTTTCAAACAGCGATACGCTTAGAGCTCCAGAACATCTCAGACTACAGCGAAAAATGCGTTAAAGATTTTGAGATGTTCTCGCAGTCTATGCGTTCTTTTGTTCAAAAAATATGACGAAAATACAAACACCTACTTTTTCGAATAAATTCAGTAACAATCATTAGTATATCACGAAACAGTTGACAAAACACAAAAGAAACAAACAAACACCAGCAGAGTATGAATATGTTCTTTCTTTCTTTTATTGTTGTAGACGATGAACCAGAAGAAATAATACAATACGACTCGCTTCAATAGCAAATGAAACCGATATGCGCCCAACCTTTACCAAGCAGTTACCAACAACGTTTGAGTTTGGATTAGAACCATGTGACTTGATAAGATTAAATAGATGTAAAGAAGAGTTTCAACAAAGAAAACGAGAGAGACACATGGCACAAATGAGGTTACTATTAACGGAAACAATGGTGGTTTGACAGTCGTTGAGAAGAAGACCGCAACAAAAGAATTGGAAATGAAGCTACGTGGCATTGTGGTGATTAATACTTGTTACAACAAGATCAATCTACTCGACTAGTTGCAATTTAAATACACGCTTGTATCACCGCCATTGACAGATAATGTGAATTTATTGAATTAACAAAGTAAAAGCAACATAATGCACTATTGTGTGCAGAGGTATCCACGATTCCGATTTTTTTACCTATCTGCAACCCTTAGAAAGTGTCCAACGACTCGAAGCCCGTATAATCTCTAGAAACTTCAACTATTACGACAGTAGCCTAGCCTGTGTGTTAAAGTGTGATCTACCGAATTTGAAGAAGAGACGCCAACTTTTTCGCTTAACTAAATTTCTTTCTACTCGCAAAAACCTATCTGTTTTGGATGCGTCATTGTTTATTATTCCATACAATTTTACTTATAATACACGTTTAACTCTTACAGCTACTGTGCAAATACATTTTTCGTCTTTTTCTGTTGCTCGTTCGTCCTTTTTCTGAAACACTCCTAGAGATATAACTTGTTACCAAATGACTTAACGTTTACACTAAACCTGAAAAAATTTAAAAATACCTTGATGAATCACCTCCAACTATAATTCTATGCCTTCTTGTTGTTCTCAGCTGTTAGTATAGTCGGTAGGGCTTTTTCTGATTATTGTTAGTTTTTCTTTTCTTTTTGGTTTGTTGCTGTTTCTTTACTGTTATTTTATAAGTGTGTGTATGTTAATGGTCATACCGCAAGTGCCTTGTATTAGTTCTTTTGCTATTTGTGTATGCTCATGATCTTTGATCGAATAAACCAGAACCAGAACTAGAATCAGTACTATAAAAATGAGATCTTTCGTCAAGTGTCATACGAACAAGAAGATGAATACTCATGAGTTGTCGGGAAATACAATATTACCGTTCTTAAAGAGGGTTTTGATAAATTTGCTCGAGGGAACCGTGCCACATTCGCTAGGTAAGAAATGCTTGTATAAAAATGTATTCAGTAATGGTAAATTATTATGTATGCGAGTGTTTTTTCGTATTTCGACATAACCGTTGATCGAACATTGAATACAAAAAAACAAAAATAAAATAGATACGCTAATATTTTTCCAATTTCCAAAGTAAGTGAAGCAAATCGCTCTTCTACCCTTTTAATTAACGCAGAAGTCTTTGTATCATTTAGAGTATTTCTATCCATGTGAATCCAAAAGTGCTGTTAATCCTACACGTGACTTCAGGATGCGACACAATAAGGTTTATAAGAAACGTATAGAAAAAAACCATATTTCATCAACACTTCAAAGATTATACGATGACTTATTACATTTCGATCTCATTCCTCTGCCAGCAGAAGCAATTCATCGATTTATACAGATATTTTTAATAAGTAGTTCAAGATTTTCAAAGATGACTAATTGCACATGTTTTTCCTCTCATTCTGCATTCTTCGTACATAAACTATAAACATGATACTATTCAGTCTGTAGCTTGTTTTGTTTTGAAAGGAGAATTAGTTTTTCACCTCGTGTTTTGTATCAACTGCCCCATAGAAAATAAATATTAATGGCGCTTCAAAAATAGATATAGATCTTGAACAAACGTCATCGTAATCATTTTATGGTTAAGGTTTCACCGATGACCCCGTTCGCACTGATTTCAAATACCGAAGACAGGACTAGAACTACTGATTGTACCGGTTGAACACAGGTGACTGGACAAATCTGATAGGCCCCTACCAAGATGTTTCATCCAAATCAGAGTAGCCAGAATCGAGAAAGTTTTGCAAATTGCTGATAATGTATCTCGTAACAAAGCTGTTAAGTTTACATCAAAGGATGGTCGTGATTTAATAAAGCGACTTTGTCACTTACAATTGTAAGAACTTGCAGAAACTTTACAAGCAAATGTGCTAGAAAGCTCGAAATAACCTCAAATTACATGCTACTACGCAAGGCTACAGATCGGCGGAATCAGATATTTTAATTTTCATCATATTTGTCAACACTATCTCGAGTTACAATGACTTGTTGAAACCTCTATGTATTTGTTGCATGCAAAGTAAAATAATTGCTACTTTTTCAGTGGGTCACTAGATGCCAAACTTTTATATTTATTGATGTTACGTCCAGCCGCTGTGCATTGCTCTACATAGTGATCCAGTGTGGATAACGACGAGTAATTATGTATCAGACATTCTAATTATAAGTTAGAAGCGATTCGTACACAAAGAAATAGGATTTACAGGTACAGACGTCAAGAATCAGTTTATACAGCTGTTTTATAACTTTATCTATTCATAGTAAAAATACAGCTATTGTTATAGAGTCACTATTCGCTTTTTATTAAAAAATCTTTTGCAAGTTGCTATATAAATAGACAAACAAACTATTTTTCTTTGCAAGGTGCACGTCGGTCCATATTGACCTCTATCGATGAGCGATTTTTACTTTATGAAGCTTCTTAACAAAACATCTAAACAAATATCTCCTAATTCTTTTGAGAATATGTTTTATTGTTAATGTTAATGTTCTTTTTGGTGTATGGATCGAAAACCTAGTGTGACATTTTTTTTCTTCTTCTTATTCTACGTATACGATGGGAGAGAAACGATAATAATACTAATGATACAAACTACTATAGACAACAAACACATAAACGACAGAGAATGAACTGTAATACAAACCATCTCAAATTACGAACGAAAATAAAAATGTTGGAATATAGTCAGATAAAAATATTGGCTGATGTAATGGTTATTACCTGTATTCTCATGCAGAATGAGTAAAAACGATTATTACTCATACATGTTGCATCAAGCCGTGCACATATTGCAAATTAAATGTGCAATGACAGAACAACTAAAAAGCTTACTTGTACTAATATATAAAAGAGAAAGAAACTAAGACAGTAACAAGTAACGAAATGTCATCGAGTAAGGACAATAACACTGCAGCGGAGGCACCATCGACATCAGTGATTATTCATGGGATCAAACTTGAAGATGACGACTTGTCAAATGTCCAGAAGCAAATTGGTCATCAATATGTGGGAATTCTCAGTGTAAGAGCCATGTACAACACGCAGAAACAGATAATGAATACTCTACTCGCCGAGTTTAAATCATGTGCTGTTGTGAAAGAAATCTTGAATAATGGCTTCATCAGCATTGCTGGACATAAATATCGTGTCGAAAATCCTAATTCATCCGAGAAGAAGGCTCAGCCGCAGAAAAGAGCATCTCGTCCAGTGATGACTTGTTTCAAATGTCAGCAGCCCGGTCACAAAGTGTCCCAGTGTCCAGAACTGAGAAAGCAGCAGTACGAATATGACGAAGAACAGTATTATAACCGATCGAGAAACAGTTCGCATACAACAGATCACGCTGAACAAAAGTTCGAAGTCGTCTCAATTGTCGACAAAGTCTGGCCACCATTGAGCACAGTTCAAGCATCACGTACCTCAGTTACTCAGCCACTGGTAGTCCATACCTCTACTACAACAGCACCTGTCTCGAAAGCCGGAACGTCAACGGCCAAATCAGTGACACTGCCAGCAGACTTGTTAAAAGCAACCGAAACGCGAGAAGTGAACATGTTGAACAGTTTTGAATCCAAACTGTTGCAGATGGAAGTAAAACTGAGAGAGCAAGATCAGCGGATTCAAGAGCTGCAGCTAGCAGTGAGTACAACGATCATACCGGCCTTTGACGAGCTGAAAACGATCATTAACAAGTACAATGCTAACTATGTACAGATGAAACAGGAACTGTCCGATGTCATTAGTCGAGCTACGACTGCTGGAAATTTGAAAACGTTGAATAATTTTGTTAATCTAGTCAAATAAAACACTCAGTATATGAAGTTTTACAATTTTGTTAATAAATATATTTCATTTACAAAAGTTGGGTGTTTTATGAGTTTTTCTCCGAATTGCGTGAACGACCTGATGCGATCACTGTCCGGCACAAGCACGGTCTGACAGATGAAAAATCTTTTCAACTTTTTTACCATCCTTATTCTTCTTCTGTCACAGGAATTCACCGAACGAGATTTTAGTACCCTTCTAAAAACTATGAGAACGCTTCGCCTGAAATATTGATAGCATTCGTGTAAAATTAAATTACTGAATCAGTATTTCACCTATACTAATCAATATCTTAAGTGGATAACGCTTTTTGTATAAATAAATATAAGGGCTAATGCAGCTCATTTTAATATCATTTATATTATTGTGAATTTTCGATATTCACGGTTATCATCAGACAGGAACAGTATTACAAAAACTTTAAATCGAATATTCGTTAAGACGCGATACGCGTGCGACAGAAAGGAAGCAAACAAAAGAGTTCATTTTTCCTTTTCTTTCTTGTGCATACGAAAAGAAAAAATAAATTCTTTTGTTTGTTTCCATTCTTTCTTTGTCGTATATCGCGTCCTAACGAAAGAATAAGTTTTTTAGTAAATTTCTTGCCTGACGATGGTCGTGAAGGTGGCAGATTGACGATAATCACAAGTAAAAATGAAATTAAAATCAGCTGCAATTAAAGATCGGTAAAGCCTTTCGAAAAATTACAGAAGAAACAGAAGGACGCGAGAAAGCATCAAAAATATATTTTTTAGTTTTGGATAGTTCCCAGAATGTCGATGGAACAAGAGACATCTTAACGCCCCCCACCCCTCCCCATTAGAAATATAATTTTTTATGGAAAGTCCATATTGAGCTAAGCATATCATCAGATAGCCCACAGTATCTACTACCAGAATCCAATGTTATCTGGTCCTCATCGAAGAGGTATGGAGGTTTTTAAAAAAAAGTTTCCTGAAAACCTTGAAAAGTTGATTGTAGAAAAAATTTTACTTTTCGATAGAAAAAAAATCCAAAAAACTTCCAATAGCACCAGAAAACAGAGGAAGCATTTTTGATCAAAACGAGATATCTCCCAGGTCTAAATGATTTTCTAATTAAGAATTATGAGAGCTTTGCTGGAAGCCCTAAAACTTATATCAGATGCCAGCTCCACCATATCGGCTTGTCCAGCTGACGGCCTCCATTTTTTGCTCTTTTTGAGAAAGTTATTGCAATAAAGCTACAAACTAATCTAAAATGGCAACTAGATAATTAAGTAGATTAAACATTTCTCTACAAATTGAAAAGTGTCTTGGCTTTGAACGGTGATTCGTTATGGAAATACAGCTATTGTACAAACAGCCCAAAAATCGATTTTGGAGCTATCTGAAAAACGTGTCTAAAAAGAATGAAGACGAGCAGGCGAAAATTCAACAAGTGAACCACTTTGTAAAAAATTGTTTCTTCTACAAGATGTGATAGTTTTTCAAGCTCGAAACTATTCTGATTAAACTGCATTAATCAAAGAAAAATCAGAAAAACCGTGACGCCGTGACACTTTTGACCGTGTTTATCTGTTGTTCGGCACCTGTTGAGAATGTGTCGGTCATCCAGTCTGGTACGAGTGATCATTTTCCAGTCTTGTTTCAAGATCCATGGTCAACGATTTCTTCTGTTTTTCGAGACGTCCGATGGACTATATATCAAAGTTTTCTCACACTTGTCCAACCATATTTTTTGCGTCTTTGTCATCAACTACAAACTGAACTATATTTAACATTTAAGTAGAATAGGATCTTTGTTAATATACGAAGTCGGATAACTTATATTTTTGTTTTCTCATAAAATACATACTTTGTGTTCATAAAATTCAGAGGGGCTTAGACTTAACTCGTCAAAATTTGCGATGAACAACGCTAATTCTGTCTGTAAAAAAGCAAGTGTCCAGCTAATGAATGGATTGATAAGACATAACTATATGAAAATGAGGGTGATTAAGATCAAAGTGATGGAGCTAAACAACAAAATAAATGATGGTCTACCGTTATGGTGAAAGAATATGGACATACTCATATGTGCATGGAGGCACAACATGAAACTAAAATTGTATAAAAAGTTTCGCAATTTATTAGTGCTCAATAAAAAGGATGAAGAAACACACAATGTAGAACTGCTATGAATAACATGACTTTCAGTCTTGAAAATACTTTATTCGAGCTTCGCCAGCTCTCAGTTGACATCATCAGGAATGTAATAGACATTCGAACAAACGATGGTATAAAAAGAAGAATAGATAAGAAGGATAGAACAGAACACCCTCACCCTCACACGTTTCTGCTCTATCCTTCTTATCTATTCTTCTTTTTATACCATCGTTTGTTCGAATGTCTATTACATTCCTGATGATGTCAACTGAAAGCTGGCGAAAGCTCGAATAAAGTATTTTCAAGACTGAAAGTCATGTTATTCATAGCAGTTCTATATTCGATTTACAAATACTTATTTCCAACTGCGCTACCAACAAATTTCAAAACACACAATGGTTATCAACATAAACATAATGGGGACGTTAAACTATCAAATGAAGAAGATAATGTTGTTGATATGACAAGTAGAAAGATTAATGACGATGAACAATCGATCTTAAGAAAAGGACTTAATTAAAATACTAATCTGATTAATTTTTTCAAATTCACCGTATTAAAATTTATTGGTTTTAGAAATTCTTTGAAACGTGTTTATGATAATCATTTTAGCGTTAAGATTATTGATTCAAGACTAAATAAATATATTGATAAACATGCCGTCTACTTTAAATACTTGAAAAACCAAGATCTATTTTTTGTCGAAAAATCTTATAGTCAATCGCAAACGAACGTTAAAGATTACGTCCGATTTTATTTTCAACACAGCAAATTTTAACGAGCAAGTTTTTTGGTCTCTCATTTTCTATCTATGAGCTGTAGAAAAAATTTTTTTGTAAGTGTTTCATTAAAAACTTCAAAAAAAGCTCTATTTATCCTGGAAGTTTCTTTGTTAAGCTAAAAAACAAATAACTCATGGCCATTTTTTTAATAACTCGGAAAAGCAAAGAGCTAAAGAGGTGGGGTTTTCAGATATGGAAAGAGCACGCTATGGAGCATCTTTTCACAAGCGAAAATATTTTAGAAAAGCTTTCCCAAAGTCGCGCTTTGTAGGAATCTCTGAAAAACTCCTGTATAACGCGAAATTTTTAGTAGCGAACTACCAGTTTTTTTGACGTTAGTAGATAGAAAAAAGTATCCTCTTCAAAACGGGACCTAAGCAGTTGCGTGAAAATCTTTAGTTTAGCCGAGAGGACAATTTTTTCCAGATTGGTCACCTTCCACTTTTGCAACTTTAAAAAGCGCGTCCAAAAATAGCTTATGGTCCATCTGAATCTCGTGGAATCTTCATTGTCTGATTTGGAATCTTTGTTCCATTAGAATACAATTCTATCTTCCACTACTTGGTGCATGTCACAACCATACGACAGAAAACATAGTCTTTCCCTATTGAACATTAACGAAATCAAGGAGTGAACACGCGGAGACGAAAAAGTAGATTCGTTGTTCTGTTGTACAAATCAAGGTAGAGATCGCTAGCGACAGTGACCAAATACTAAGAAAGATTAATGACGATGAACAATCAGTCTTACGAAAAGGACTTAATTAAAATACTAATCTGATTAATTTTTTTTTTATTAATTTTTTTGAGAAAGATACTAACCAATATCTTCTTACTTCATCAGCTGGTCGAAACGGAAAAAGGATATCCGACGATGATCTGGTTGATAACAAAGCTTCTTTATTAAAACAATAGATTTAGTGTTGAAAAATGCCGAAGGGCCACGAGTTTTCTGTGGAAGTTAAAGCTATGATGTTCAAAGTGATTTGTTACGTCGAAAGTGAAAAATCTGGTGCGGTAATCCCTGTCAACGAACGTTTGGTTGCCATGCTTGGTATCTCAGCTCAGTCAGTGAAAAACTTAAAACATGAAATGTCAACACAGCCAACACTGGATGAACTGATAGACGAGCCGACTGAATTGATTCGAACCAGATTACGTCACTCTTCATCTGCCACAACCACCCAGATGTCCTTACCATATCCAGCTTCGCCCAAGAAAATACGACATAGTGGTCGCTTCTTCGACATTCTCCTGTTGTCTTGTGATTTAGGACCAAGGCTAGTAATCAGTGCCATGATCAGTAAAGATGGGTTCCATGAAAGTACAGTTGACGTATGGGAAACCTCTAAGGAGCCTAATATGACGTCGTCTCTTTTTGTGCAATGGATTTTTAAAGCAGCAGCAGCTCTGCGAGCAGAACATGATACATCGAAAATTTGTATAATAGTAGATAATGCGCCATGGCATAACGAAGCGACCGATGAAACAAAAATGCCAAAACGCTCATGGAAGAGAGCACAAGTCCTACAGTGGCTTGATGATCACAAAGTGCCGTATTAGCGGCTTATCCAAGCGTGACGCTGTGACATTTTTGACACAGTAATTTGAGCTTTCCTCAAAACGCGTATAAGCTAGAACCGTCGTTCTTGTGCCGTTCGACGCAGTTCGCCATACTCTACTTTTGGCATAAAAATGAAGGTATGTGGTTAAGGACTCAAACTTTTAGAAGCATTTTTCGGCGCGTGACGCTGTGACAAAAAAAGGCCCTAAATTCGAAGTGCTTCTCGTTAAAAGCTAATTTGCTGCGAATTTAGAAGAGCTAATAAAAAGCGTCTCGAGCAAAGTTTGTAGAGGAATAAACGAGCTACTGATTGTTAAAAAAGAATCTTTCCAAAGAGCTTTCCATCCCTCAATAATTGTGCTCCTCTCTTCAATTGCGTGTCCTCTCG